GATGTAATCGCGGAGCCAGGTGAATTGAACAAATTGTAGTATGCGGTGTATCTTTGTGATACGAAGATCGTGGCGCGTACATTGCTGCAGGTTGTGATAGTGGATGCCGTACTGCTTCTTATCATATAATGTCGCGAGAAGTTTATCCTGCCGCGTGCAAGGTGGTTTACCGCGTGTCGGATAGAAAGATAGGTTAGTGTGTCGGTCGTACAGATGATGTGGATACTCGAAATCGACCTCGAGAATATAACCCGTATAAGGCGAATCCGGAGCGATCGCGCTCGTGTCAAAGTTCGCAACATCTTCAACCCATCAAAATTCGGCATAGCGGTTGACACATCGCCTATCCGTACAGATTGTTCACGTCGTAGTACATCAAATACGACGATAGTTTCGACGGGTTGTACGAACACATGTACTTGTTATTGGCCTGCGCGTATCTGCCGGAACATTGACTGAAGCCACCGCCGCGCTCGATAAATAAAACCATATTGATGTCGGTGAGCAATTCAAATTTTACACACGTATGTTTCAGCATGGCGTCCCACGTGAAATCTGGCAATGTGTAGTAATAAGCGGGATCGAGGCTGCAACTTTTGCGGAAATTTTCAAAAACATCGGCTAACAAGCTATCGATTTTTAAATACAGATCGCTGTACTCGGCTAGGGTTTTAATGGAGAACCACTGCCACGTTCGCAGCATAATCGTTCTCCGACATCGTATAACCGGTCAACGAGCTATAGAATGATTCGCGCGGTAGTAGGCAATCTTCCTCGCGACGAAATCGATATACCGATAACGCGTCGTCGTATGAACATCGCACGTAGTATCCGATGCCGATAAATACCTCGTGCTGCTGATAGGTGTACGACGCGTCTTCCTTCTCTTCGCCGGTTTCGTTCGCCGTAGTACGCACTCCAAGTCCGCGTAAATGACAAAAGAAAGTCGTTCCTTATTTGTGTGGTTCTTGAATTCGAACCACTTGTCATCCTTGTTCGACAGTTGAATTGTTCATCTTTTCGCAATCCGTTGTATGCGACTGCAATTTTTCAGACGAACTGAAGTAATGTAGACATCTGCAAACGGAAAATATGATTTTTTTAGTATTTTAGTATTTTAGTATTTTTAGTAAACAATTTTATAAGAAAAATAATAAAATTTGTTAAAATACATACCGGTCGCAAAAATATTTCTTGTGTTCTTTTTTGTTTATTTGCGAGCTCACAAGGGGGATAGGTCTTTGGTGTACGCGAAGTGCCCCGCGTTGTCATCGCGCGGATCTTGCACGTACAATAGATTTGCGTGCTTCTCCATCTTTTTATCTGTCAACCGTATTGGGAGTATCTTCTTTTCCTTGATACCGTAGACATTGATTGAGATGTCGTTGAGATGTTCGAACTTTTTAATTTGGTTCAACGTCATCGGAAACGTAATATCTTAGAGATTTAACACTGTCGTATAATGCGGATACGACAATTCTCAATCTTTATTTCTTTCGGTCGGATGCAGAGCCGCGACCACGCGAAACACGCATTGTCCTTGAATCGTATGTTGATCACCGCTCGCTTTAACATAATTTCCCGCAGCAATTCGATGTAACATCCCGCGTGCATTGGATTATATTTATTCACATTAATTGTTAAATTTAATATATGTGACAGCGCCCATCCATTGTCGCGTTCTTGGAACTCTTCGAGCGACAACGTGGATTTGATGACGTGCTGCTCGTACCACTCGTCCAAATTTGATACTCAAAAGAGTTCATAGTTTTTCGTGTTTATACTTTTATTGGCGCGTTTATCGCCCACAAACTCGCCGTTGAACGCGGTGTTCATTTTCACACTATCGTGTCTTTGTACAATGTCTCGCACTCGCTCGAGACTACACCACCAGCGTCTTCCAAAAATCGTCGCGGCTCGATATAATCCACGTTAATCACCGCACCTGTCAATATACGGCTTTCAAACGCCATATCAATCTCGCATCAAACGAGAGATCCAGTGTCTCTACTCGTATTCATCACTAACGTGCACGAAACATCTTTCTAATTGTACCTTTGTACCCGCGATCCTCATCACCACAGATTGTCTATTTGTAACGATGAGTCCAGGACGCTTAACGCGACTAAGTTCCTCGATTGTTCGATGCACTCGTCGCATCGTTGCAGCCACGCGAAACACTCCACCAAGGTAGCGATCTGACTGCACTGCTCCAGCAGCTCGCGTTCCACTCGCTTTAAGTGTTCCATTTTTTTTTTATACGTTATATTACATTCCCACTGCACTTGCATGTGATTTGTCCACAATATTGTCTTTCTTACGCGGTGCAAATTGGGCACATGTTACATATATGGACTGACTACAATTGGAGTAAAATTGACCGTATAGCGCATTAAGAATATTTATCTCATGCTTTCTAACGGCATATACTATTCCAATGTCAATGTCCGCCAAATGAACTATGTATTCGGCACATACAATTATATAATAGTGCACCACCCGTCGAATAGTAAAATTGTATTGTACAATGTTTTTTATTACCATTCAGTGCAAGGAGTTCCGAACGTGTAACAATTTTCTCCACATATAATCCGTAAGCTCCTCACTCTGATCACTCAGGTAATCACTGTTGTCAGACAATGCGTGCTCTTCATCTTCATCTTCAATATCCATGTCAATATTTTCAATATTAATATCCATTTCTTCTTCATCTCCGAACATTTCATCCATTATATTCGCAATGTCTTCTTCCATATTTCACAATATTCACATGGTCAATTATTTCTTTCTCTCACATTAGACTTCTATCTACTGTGATCTCGCGCGTCCCATGACCCATTATATATCATCGACAATTTCTTTGTCCCTTTGTCCCTCTGTCTAAACCGGAGCGGCGTCAGACATTTGCAACCGAATCGCAATTTGTTTATCTATTTGTTTATCTATTTGTTCATAACTTTTATATCTTTGCAATTTTGTTTATAGCAGCCGGAGTATCGGCGCTTCCTGGAAAAAATTTAAAATACGTCATCGCGCTCCTTTGCGAATGTTATTATATATATGTTTGATTGCAACAATGAAATTCTTAGGAAGAGGGGGGAAAGGAGAAGGCGGTTTGCAATTTCTTTGTCCTTTGTCTAAACCGAAACATGATCTTCGAAATTTATTTATAGCAGCCGGAGTATCGGCGCTTCTTTCTTAACACGTCGCGACACGTATGTTGATTTCCAGGAAAAAGAAGCCGTAATAAGATGGCTTTTCATGAAAAAAAATTTAAACGTCATCGCGATTATGTCGCCTTTGCGAACACAACAATGAAATTTCTAGAAAAAAGGGAGGGGACTAACAGTTTGCATGTCAAAATTTACGCGGATGCGATCAGTCTTCCATCGAACGATTTGCACGAAAAAAGTACTCCGCTCCTCATTCGTTTGTACGAACGATCAACACGCAATGTATTCCGCCAAAGGAAGCAGCGCACCGTACGATGGCGAAAAACAAAAGAAGGAATGTAACGCGTAAGTTTCAATTGCATTTTTTTATTTTTTTCTCTCTCTTTTTTTTCCAATATTGTGCATATTATATATTTAATTTCCACAGTATTTCGATGGAACGTCGCGCAGTGCGCTTACTGAGCAGACGTTACACTCTGACGACCACGGGTTATAAATTTTTGGAAATTGGAATCAACGTTGGTCCACCGAGCTACATGGAGATCGCTCTGGGAGATCATCGAGGACAAGAACTACTTAAAACGTGGAAGGAACTCTACGAGCAGCGATGGAATATCTATAAATTGCTGTAGAAACGATTACAAAGACGATATTTATAATACGATAAGCGTTGGACTGTTAACCGTCAGAGTTTGCCTGATGAACGACGTTACTCGTACGTTTTGAATCTTTGAACGTACGCATAATGATGATCGTATATTTAGTATCGATCATATCGACGAATCTGACGAGTCGATCGAACGTCACATCGATACATTCGTCCAGATCATTCGACGTTATGTCGAATACGATTGATGCCAAGTATACGCGATTCTCCAACATCGCATCTGTTGTAACAGATCCCGAGGAAATACCGAACACGATACGCGATTGCGATATCTTCAATAGACGGCAACTCGTCGATTGCGAGCTATTTGTAGCTTTAGTTTTTAGTGTGTAAAAAAAATAAGTGAATAAAAAAAGTTTACACGCTTAAATGTATTCAATTTGTTAAAAAAAATAATAAACATATATAATATGCAAAAAAAACAATGTATTTCTTTCATTCCTTTCCTCCCACCATAAAAATAAATTAACCGAAAAAATAACATTCGTCATAAGAGAGAGAGAGCCGCAACGGAAAAGATAATAAATATACGTAAGAGAGACAGAGAGAGACAGTAGATATACAATAGAGAGCTGCAATGAGAGAGAGAGATAGTTGGTAAAGAAAAAGAGAAGATGAGAACATGGTGGGCGGCGGCAGTGGCGGTGGGCGCAACGGCGGCGGGCCTGACCCCCCCCCCCTCTGACGTCATATCCACGCGCCTAATTTCTTCTTCGTTATTTATCTTTTTGTTTATCTTTTTATTTATATCACCTTCACTTTGCTACTCCTCTCCCCCGTGATGTCATGTCCTTCGAGATTTTCTATTTGTTTATAACTTTTATTATCCACTTTTGTTTATCTATTTCTTTATCCACTTGTTTA